TAGGGAATCGCCTCATCATTTTTACATGCTTCAGACATATAGCTGGCTGGATCACTTCAAGGAGTAGTGTGCTGAAATGTTACTTGCTTTTCTATTCCTATGACGTTTCTTGGATATATTTCCTACTAGCTGATGGTCCCGGTCTCACCCGAGACTCTTAGTTCAATCGAAATGGAATAGGGGAACGAACTCCGTCATTTTGGAACATCTCTGCGGACTATTAGTCCTGCAACCACAACCGCAATATTTCTAAAGGACCAGTTGCCGGCAAAGGCGGGCTCAAACTGGCGGAGTTCGTTCCCTTACCTATCAAAATATCATCGGCTCCCAGATTCGTGTAGAGGCGGGTTGCGCACTTCCCTGATTTTCGAGATAAACTCGTTAAACCTCCACGTTATGCCATTGTATTTCGTACTCTCTCGTTGAGCTTATCTTTAAATTAGTGAAGTCCTCAGCACGCCTCCACTGGAATCTGAATCTTCAAATTAGTGAAGTCCGCAGCTCGCTCCCACAGGAATCTGGAAGCCAATCATACTTCCACTTTCTAACTTCGATAATGCGCGAAAAGCGCTCTAAGACGAACCCGCTGCATCCTGTTGACCTTGAGATTAGAATGAACTTTACTAACCTTGCCCAAATGTTTACTAAATGATTGGTTAGAGCACGTCAAACTCTCATTTTCAGAGATTTACGTAACCAGATCAATAAATCAATAGAAGGACCCTGCGAATCGCCGCAAAAAGTAGCCATAAACCACCGCCGGAGTCGAAAACATAGGTGTGCGAAGTTTCAGCTCAATCGGTGTAATGACTGGCGTTTCCATAACGAACGAACAACTAAACGAACATCCTCACAGACATTGAGCTTTATATATACCAGTGCGTCACCTCCGCTTCGCGGAGGTTCGCACTGGCTCCCTATCTGTACGCCTTTCTCATGTTCGCATGAGAACGGCTTTGAAACTCACCACGCGATGCTGAGCATCACAAATGAATCGTAAACAACTGTTCATTCATGAAGCATCTCCACGTAAGATCGGTAATTTTGAGAAAAAACTTTGTTGCAAGGAAGTAAATGCGAATTTGAGCGGATTACTGAACTTATTTTAGTTTGATAATCGTCTTAAGGATAATAGTCACCTTGGGCTACATTTCAGTGAAAAATTTTTTTCAGTTTTTTCAAGTTAAACCTTGTCAAATCGACCATCTACGCTTCATCACATTTTGGCGCTGTTTTCACAAAAAAGCAAACTTTTTAAGCACTTTTTGGGCTAGAATTCATGGCGCGCAGAGTTACTTGTCAGGCAAATCATAACTTTGCAAAAAGTCGAATTAGCGACCCAGCTTTGCGTGCCAAAAGGCGCGTGGACCCGTTTGACGCGCAAATTTTGAGGGACCCGCTTATCGAACCGGTTCGTCCTTGTGCATGGTGAGCCTACACGCTGGCACGGTATGTTGTGCAAAATTGCAGCCTGATAGCTTAGTTGCAGCTTCCTCTATGAATTTCGTGACAGACAGATTTACAGACAGACACACACACAAAAAAACAGACGGCCTTAGCGCGTTATTATAGTAGGATAGATTTGGTACTCATAGGCAAGCCGTGTAGTATTCACTTATAGGTTCGTATTAGAAAGACGGAGTGGGTTTATGTTTAAGGACGGAGAAATCTGTGGTCGCATAACAAGCATCTTAGCATAGGACACATCCAAAATGGTTCTCTACTTATGACAATGTAAGCTTGTACTGCAATCTACTATCTCATTTATCAACGCGAGTTCCTTTAGCAGTGAACATTTTTGCTGTCAACTATTTGACTGCCCGAAGTATCGAGGGGAGGTCGCAGGAACTCGTGGTGGTTCTTTGCCACAGTAGACCTTTTGCTTGAAAATTAAACCCCGGAACCTTCAACAGAGATTTTTGGATTGAATTGAATAAAGTAACAATGTGATGACGTAGATATTCCCACGGCGGCATTATTCAATTTTGTTCAGAATAGTCAAAAGAGTTTGCGATGATGAAATTCTGAATAAAGATTTTGCTACTCTTTTTGTTCACGTGAGGAAACAATTTTTTTCGCTTTTGCTAACATTACACCTCGCCTTGCTTCAACAATGTTAGTTCTTCGGCCATAAATGGGAGGAATACAATTACAGCTTTGACTAACCTAGGATCTTTTTCGTTAAAGAGCTACGTCTTTTTTTCTGCGCCATCTCTCCTAGGGTTTTAGCAGACTCCTTTTCAGCTGTTACGAAATTTGGATAGATAATTTGCTCCCAGTGTATTTGAGCTTTCTTTCGGAGAATACCTTGATGTCGGGGGAGGGGGCGAACTGCAGTGACATGTGCATACATCGCGTTCGTAACTTTATGGTGTAGCGTAGTCATCCTTCAATTACCTTGTATGCTGCAGAATGAGCTACGAATCATTATCGAATCTTTTGGAAAGTTTGGAGTTCTTGCACGCTGTGAGAGAGCCTACTGCAGGCGAGATATCACCGCGGCGGAGGCAGCAGTATGTGCGGCAAGAGCACGTTCGAATCGTTGAAACTCGCTTCCGGATTTTTGACGAATACCTGGTTACGAGGAGGCCTAAGGGTTTTCTCGAATTCATCAAGCTCTTGCCTGATGAATTTGAGGACCTCTACGAAAGAATAGGAAGTGGGTTGGAGCATCCTCGTACTCATCTTGGTCCAATAACCTGCCGTCACAGACTGATGATCTACCTCAGGTGAAAGCTTGGGGAACTGATAACGTGAACTAAACCGCTGATAACATGCATTGTCCCTTAAGATTTGTAACGCAGAGGAGGACTTTCACCGCTTATGCTTTGGACATAGGAATAGGGAAAACAGTATCGAATGGGTAGAGGAGGTGGCAGAAGCCATCATAAGGAGTAAGCAGAACGCTAGCTATATACATTACCACCAATCGTGATTTAGTTCTGCATAATGTTGCTTTTCCACCTCTAACACGTGCGAGACTAAAGGAAGTAGCTTGAAAGACACAGGCACGGTTTGACTACCCCAGGGCGGTGGGGTTCATGGACGGCAAGCGCATGAATATCCAGGTTCTCAGTGCTTATGAAAGATGTATACAACGACAATGTGTGTTTAGAAGCCCGCCCGCTCTGTAAGTATGTACTGGAACTACAAACATTGCCACTCGATCATTCTCCTGGCAATATGCGATTGTGATTATCGCTTTATGGCGTACGACGTTGGAGCTCCTGGTCACCGTGGTGATGCTGGCGTGTTTTGGAATTCCGCTATCAAGGTTTGATTCGCTAATGAGAAAATACGGAGGTTTGATTCGGGAACTCAGAGATGGCTGGAACGTCACGACGATGTTTCTCCTCCCACGAGAAGGCGTGGAAGAGTGGGCCCTGTCCAATATCATTTCCTGGTGGACGGCGGCTTCGCTCAGGGCCGCAGATTTATCCAACCGTATAGAGAGCGCGAAACGACTACAAGAGATAGAAGGCGATTCAACCGACAATTAAGTGGGTAACTTATCACCTACTCGACATGACAATGTGGAGGAATAGAGCTCGGCATATGATAGAATCCACCTTTGATTTGCTGGCTCAGCGTTTCCAAATTTTGATGACGCGGATGACCCTGACTCCAGAGCGAGCTAAGCGGCTGGTTGTTTCCCTAGTGGTTAGACCAGTTGACTATTGAACCGATTCCTGACATTGAGTTATTGAGCAATGGCTATAGATCCTTCACAACATGCTTCCCCGAAGACAGGACAGCTTGGCAGAAGTGGAGAGATTTGAACTTGCACAAACGCGTACCATCCCTTGAGGAACACGGATCTTCTACAAACAGGCGGTGCTGCTAGAGATCTTATAACGCAATACTACGTTGATTTATACGGTCATGAAAGATGAGACTTGCGTATTGTCTCAACCCTGGGAGGAAACCTTACTTCCATCTAGCTGTCTTTTATATTGCCGCTTTTCCCCATCATCAGTAAGCGTTTTCGAGTATATTTTGTATGAAGCCGAACTTCAGTCTGTAAATACAGGGTGTCCCAAAAGTATGTATCGAACGTTTGATCGTTAATAACTCTCTTCCCAAGAAGTCTTTTGCCTTGCTTTAGGTACCGTTTTGTAGAGCTGGCTTCAACTTAGATTTGCACTATAGAACGAATCATTCATCTCTCTTCATTACTGTAGGATTACGGTAGAAACTTGAAACATATGGTGTTAATGTGAAAAAAGCTGCCGTTTCAAAATTTTTCAAAAAATCGTGAAAACTTGTGTAATAGGGTTTTTATGGACGCTGAGTTCAATAATTAACTATTCACAAGATTACGAAGCTTTCTAAACGGTGCAATCCCACTTTTTAGGAACATTGAAAAAATGGCCGCTACTTCTTACCTGGCATAACTCTTCAATGAAGCATCATAATAAGTTGGGAACTTTACAGTTATAATCAGCAACTCTAATTAGCCTAGTGTAAAAGTTTTAAGGCTGTTTTGTTTCCTTTCTGGGGCAAAATATGGCCTTTCATTGCTTAAAACCCTCCTTGAAGTTTATACCGTAATCCTACAGTAATGAAGAGAAATGAGTGATTCGTTCTATACTGCAAATCTAAGTTGAAGCCAGCTCTACAAAGCGGTACCTGAAGCAAGGCAAAAGACTTCTTGGGAAGAGAGTTATTAACGATCAAACGTTCGATACATACTTTTGGGACACCCTGTACATCTGCGTGCCTACAGTGTTCTCGTTCCTAAATCGTTCTCAACATATACTCACGTGCCATTTATACGAAGTGATGTATATAATCACAATAAACTTTTACTTCTTCTTGGAATCCAAAATTGTACAAAAGCTTTGAATAATGTAAACCGTATCGTAACAACCGTACTTCACCGAGATCCAAGGACTAAAAATCTTACTAAAGAGTCTATCGAATGCTTCTCAAAGTGTGGAACTGCTAATGCTACTGGTAACAAAAAAAATGAAAAGTAAACAAAGAAAATGCACTCAAAATCATTCTTCGGGAGATGGTTTTCTTACATTGTCTTCGTAGTGCTTGACTACTTGGATTGGGAGACTGCTCTTAGATCGATATGCCTCTTCCACGCACTGGCGAAATTCCTGCGGTCTAGTGACATGTCTAATTTTCGTCACCAGAGTCGTTACTATGACATGTATCTTCTCTTGAGCTTTCGCTTCGTCCGTATCTCTCAAGTTTTGAGCCACGAAAACGCCTGAAAACACCGAATAGCTCGATCAACTGAGCCTGAAATCGCACCAAACGTATCGAACTTGTCATTCCTTCTGACCGCCTCCACCCTTTCTTTAACTGTGTTTATCGCATCGCGCAGAGCACCTCTATCTGAAACCGAGCAGATCAGTTGAAGAATGAGTGGGGAAGTATCTTACCTTCATCACACATGTTAACCACTCGGGATCTTTTCGGGGTGTGGGTCTTTTTCTTTTCAGAAAGCTGTCCAAGTAGCGGTATCTCTATTTCTTCAATAGGCCTCTTTCGGTTCGTTGATTCGTATTGAGAATAGTCGAAGGAAAATCTAAAACAGTTCCGATGTTTTGTGTAAGAAGAGCAGCAGAAGAGCTCTACCGTTTTCGTCGTTCACGTGCTCCTCATCGCTCAGATTCAAATTCGAAACTCGCAGCCTGAAATACAGCAAATAATTTCGTCTTCAAAATTAGTGGCGTTAGAGAGACGTACGCGTCCACTTCAGCTTGATCCAGAAATGTCAGATATCTGAAAATTCCTGTGCGAGTGGCTGCTTGTCCTGACTTTCCTTTTCGGCACTTCGTGTAGCCACTGCGCATGGTCTTCCATTACACTTTCACATCATCTACTGAAACGAACCTCGATAAAGCTGAAAAAAACTTTTAATTAACTTACAATCAGCCGCGATACCACGTTCAAGCAACAAATCGACAATTCTGTTCCATGTGGCTGCGCGTAGGTCCCTATTGTGATAGTCATCATGCGATGGCAACCATAGGTTCGGATGCTTTTCCATCAAAATTGCAATGTGTTCTCTGATGTTCATCCTGCCTGCAAAACAGAACTTTGAGATAAGCAATCACGACATAAAGTTGTAAATGTGGAAAGAGCTAACATCACGACTTAAAGTTGTAATGCAAATCACGACATAAAGTTGTAAATGTAGAGAAAGCAAACATCACGACTCAAAGTTGTTATGCAAATTACGACATAAGTTGTAAATGTAGTAAAAGCAACACTTGTTTTCGGTGAAACGCAAGATCTGAAACAGATGTATCGTTCGTTAACACCTCTAAAACATCTTCATATTGATAACGAGGTGTGAAATGCCTACAATCAGAAAAAAGGACGTTCACAGCAAAATACTGAATCATTTTATTTTGCCCTACGCGGCACCAAATGACAAACGCAGAACGCGCTCGTTTAAGCGGCGCCTAAACTGTGCGGGCATCATATAGAACTGTGCGGGAATCACAGGAATCGCAGAAATCGCAGGAATCATCTGGAATAGTATGGCCGATTCCTGAAATTGGCGCTCTTGAACATTTTCCCAACACGTGCGAAGTCATAAATTTAGATCAGAAGCAAGAAATTTTACTGAAAATTGGGAGACTTGATTTCTCTCTCTTATTTTAGTCTTAATTCAGCATGCACGACTATTTTTATGTATGTATTTATTTATTGATGCAAATGCGCGTCAACAATTGAGAGTACAAGGACGTCAATGGGTAAACACAAATGATAAAAATGAAAGTTTTATCAAATTATGAAAGATCTTATATAAAATCAGGTAAAGCCAGTTTGACGACACTACCTTATCTCCATAACACACAATGACATCGTAACAAAAACTCGACCACTACTTATTGGCTTTCTATGTTTATAAGCCAGCCATATTGTCCATCACTATCCACTATAATTGAAATTCATACCAAACATGTATAGACGTGTGAGCATAACTGAGGTGATGGAACAAGATATACGCACCCCTAAGGCAACTTCACATTTATCTCTGTATCTCTGCTCTATTTTTTTATGAAAGGTTTAGGACTACTCAGACAATTGCATCGGCAAGTTCGTGGCCTCAAAACGAGTTATATAGAGCTCCGCGGCCCTTGAAATTTCAGCCCGGCACGCCGCGGCTCTTAAAATTCTCAGTGCGGCACGCCGCGGCCCCTGTATTTCTAGTCTGGCGGGTCGCGGCCCTTGAATTTTCAGTCCGGTGCGCCGCGGACCATGCATTTTTTGACGGGCGCGCCGCGACGTATAAGTGATCCTACAAAAAATCCATCGAAAAACCGCGGCCCTCAAACTTTTTATCGGGTGGCTCGCGAGCACTGGAGAGTCTTGGAAGAGGATATAAGGATGCAGACAAATAAAGCAAAAGTAATGATTTCTGCTGCGCGTTGCTCCATTCTTTAGCGTTGTTCTAGCAAATTGAACATTCTTTTTACGCTTATTAATGTTTTATCTTGTTATGTTGATTTTTCAAGTCCTCTGGGCCTGTAGTAAACCCCCCGTATGTGCTGACGTATAGCTCGGAGTCTGCCGTGACATGTGCTGACTACCAGGGAGCGAGGCAGGCAAGGCGGCTATCCTTTATCATTGCCGGCGAACGCAATCAATGCGAAGCGCCAGGGTAGTCCCACTTTGTCGCTATATATCGCGACATATCGCGGCATATAGCGACATATTGCAACATATCGTGACGGACGAGACGACGAAATACTTTTTTCATCATGGGGACGCAGAGACATAGCGCAGGACTAGAGCTCGACTACGCCAACCTCGCAATAGGTCGCACATGCACAATGGCGACAATACAGTAATGAAAAAAATAGAAATAATCAATTGTGCATGCGCACAGCTCGCTTATTCAGCCCAAATTTTTCGTTCACTTTTACATGCAGCGTTCTTGATGTTTTTCTTTTTTTCTATCATCGTGTACAGTTACATTCTATCGTTGTTGTCGTTTATGAATGTAAAAGCCTTCGATTTTGTGCATTGGAGTGTTTGTCACATCACATGATCATCTTGTTGGCCGCCCTCTGGCTGAGTTTTACGAGCAAAACTATGGGCAAGCTATATACTGTCTGATGGGGCTAAAAAAGCTGCATCAGCTAGTGTATAGTTTGCCCCACAATGTCCCCATATTTCAGCTTTTAACGTCCTCTCAAGCTGAAGGCGTCATTTGGGTGACGCCTGTTTGTGCAGTCACGTTATTACGCGGCAGCGGCACGGCGTCAGCCGAAAATGAACGGAAAGGTCATACTCTGACATTCGGTCCGTGCGGTAAAAGACTTTATGTTCCTACGGTTACTCAAATGCCAAGAAATGATACCTAAGTCAGCTCCACAAGTGATGGAGCAGCCTAATCATAGCGTCGTACCTCACGCGGGTACCTATTACGCTTATAGCGTGTGAGAATTGGAGGCGCGCGGGCGGCACGGGGAGAATATATTGCGCGCGGGCCGTACGCTAAGGATACAAGGCGCGCGGGCCGCACGGTACATGACCCCGCCCGTAAATCTAGGCGCGCGGGCCGCACTGCTGACCATTAACAAGCGCGCGCCGCACGCACCGAATGTCAGAGTAAGAGACCATTTTGTGTGTTGTTTTTTCACATTTTTGTGTACTGTAGGTATTTTGCGGGGCAAGGGTGACCTAAAGACAAGCTTGACCCTCGTCCCTTGCTATTTCCCGGGGCAGTCTCGTCAAATCGATGCTGAGACTACCCCGAGGGCGGGAAGGGCTCGTCTATGTGCAAAAGACGCATGTGGACACCAATTGGACCACCCTGTCATCTTTAAGGCAACATTGTGACTTGCGTTTGCCCTAGCAATCTCATCGAGGGTGAAATGCTTATTGAGAAAGGAGTAGGGTAGTGCTGAGAGTTTTATATTTTTTGAATTGATATGCATAGGTTCAGTATGCTTGATTGCGTGATGCGTATGAGTGCGTTTGCGTGTGATAATCTTTTATGTTAGTGTGTTGTCGATACTTTGCTTTATTGCTTCAACGTCACGTGATTCTCGTCGTCCGTAATTTTCGCAATCCCTGCTCATCCTTGAGTAGTCCGTTATTGCAGGTTCACTGGCCCTCGCGCACTATATTGGCGGGATCGATCGATCGTGGTGGGAAGCAGGATCGGCAAAGGGTAGCTTGATTTCTTAGTCTATTTTATCATTTACTCGATGTTTTATCTGTTGTTTTAAACTTTATTATCATTTTTGTTCACTTTCTGTTTCTACTTGAGGCCATTGTGGCTTAGGGGTGCTTTGGCACCGCATCCGGAGAATGCTGGTCCTAACACGATATGTGGGGGCCTGTAGGATCGCGGGAGTCGGACGTGCGTACGGCCCCTGCGCCGCGCACGTCAGATGCGCTCCGACGACTCAGGTAGGTGCCAGACTTATCCTGTTCAACAGGTTCATTCGGTTCACCACCTTTTCTGTTGAACAGTGTAGTGATTTGACCTATGAACCCCCTATACAACTCTAGGGCGAAAGGACCAGCAGTCCTCGGAAGCGTTGCCCACGGGACCGGCCATACTGTTTTCCTGAAACCGGCATTTCTTGCGATTCCTGCGGGTCCCGCAACATTGTATATTGCGAAAAATCAGTGTTTCAAAAGTCGCAAAGCGATTCGTAGTGCGGCACATCGGAATTGGAGTATCAAAGGATTTGCAGGAACTGCAGGAATGACGAAAATCACCTTCTTGAATAGTATGGCCGGTCCGTAGCTGAAATGTTCCTTCCTCTAACCTAAGGCTCCCGCCAGAGTGCCGAAGTTATGCCAGCGCTACGCCAGCATTTCGATCGATACACGTGTATTTCGCTGGGGCGGGGCTAGCTGACGTCCTCAACGAAATACACGTGTATCGATCGAAATGCTGGCGTAGCGCTGGCATAACTTCGGCACTCTGGCGGGAGCCTAAAACTGAAATCGGCCGCACTCGAGCCCCTCCCAGTATCCTTCCTCCTAAGGTTGGGTTTTTGCCATTCCAATAATTCTACGATTTTTTCTGTATCAGTCCTAGTCGAGTCACTTGTATCTTAGTTCTTGACTGCACAACACGCACGCCAATCACGACTCCATTTTCAGTGCAATTAGTTAGAAACTAATTCAACTTGTTTTCGAAGAATTGGATCCACTGAAACTGTAACAGTAGCTGTTTGAAGTCAAGGTGTCGTGAGGTAGCGCGTGAAGTGTGCAACACCAACAACTCACGAGCTTATTAGCATGTGCTCACGTGCAAATATTGCTGGCTATGCAAGAACGCCACATATACCATCAAATCTTCTCGCTGTACTAGAAAGGTTCTTCACAAAGACCTGCATAGCAAATTAGCAGCTCATATCTGCAAAAACGTTCTGTTACATCATTCAGCGCTGCTTATAATCGTACTTCGAGTATGGCAGAATTTCTTGTATACGAGTGCACTCGTATGAAATCGAGAATCCACGCACTTCAACATCATTTCGTCGTTGTACTTCTACTCTCAGCTGTTGTTATCTTCTCTCAGATTCTGCGGATGGAAACATGTCTAGTCTTGCCTACCTGCTTTGCAATAATAGCAATGGAAAATGCACCCTTCTAACAAGGGAAGGATACCAACATTAGTTGGCATTTGAAGATAAGATGTATGTCATTAGATCCGTATTTGAACGCTGATTCCAAATCTGCTTTCCTTTTTTTGCGGAATAAGTTTCCGAAGAAAGTTATGAGCGTTTGAATGTCCAAATTTGCTAAGCATTGAGTGGCTTAAAATCAACGAAAAACTCTAAAACAGTACCTATGCGATTTCCACCGGCTTTCCTCCTTCCTTGCAACCAATATGTTCGATACAAAACTGATTTTCCACATTCCGGTGTTTTTGTATAGCTTTTCGCCAATTTTATGCCACCTAAACCTTTATAAATTTGGACATTTGAACTCCCACAACTTCTTTCGGAAACTTATTCCGCAAATAAGGAAAGCAGATTTGGAATCAGCGTTCAAAGGCGCGTCTACTGATATAACCTTTGATTCAACTGGCTTGGCACCATTAGGGCGGGGTTTTGTGGTCTAACTGAGGCCGCTCGCGCCCGCGACGCACCTGCGTCGCTCTCGCGCGAGTGCTCAGTGATCATTACCTAGCCTTAATTAGGTCACGAAGCCCCGCCTTTGCCGATGCCAAGCCAGTTGAATCAAATGGTACATATCATCTTCAATCGCCGACTAATGTTGGTATCCTTTCCTTGTAAGTAGATTCGGCTACATGAGTCATGAACTATCACACATATGTTTTTACTTTGGTGCGAGTTTTGATTAAGACGATTCCTTTTCAATTGTATTATGATTAGAACAGTTTTGAAAGATCTTTTGTCGACCTGGCCTCCTTCCTCCTCTTTTCGCCGAGGTCATAAGCTCAAAAACATTGAAAACTAGTAGCGACGTCCATTTCACCCAAAAACTTTACGTGTTTCTCCACAATTTGACGCAAATATGTATTTTCTGGCTGTCATTGCATTTCGATGAAATCTTTGAGCTGATCGACGCAAAAATTTAATATCTTCTGTTCAAGCAACCCCTAAACTATCTGGTTTTTGATGAGAAAAGGTTTTTTGCGCCCTTCTGATTCAAGGATTCTGATCTGATCGTGCTATATGTATTTATTCTTGCCGCTCTTTTGACGAACATTTCTTTTGCTGAACGTTGTTGACGGAACGAACGTTTCTGCTGTTGTTGCTAAGTATTCCATCCATATATAGATTGGAGCGGATGTTAGGGCTTTACCAAATTGTGGAGACGCTATTGTTCATTTTGCGGTAATTCATTTTCGTTGATCAGAAAAGTGCTTTGCTCGGCACTTTCAAATAGTGCTCTCTGACATGTTGGATTCAGTAGACGCTTCCGCCTAAGTTATCTTTTGCTTTTTGGATATGCAAATGTGGTCAGAGACTCATTTTTTTCCTGTTTTTCTTTTTGTGTAGATTTAATAGAGAGGAACACACGTAAGGACACCTTGCAGTAAATGGCATCACCATGTTCATATTGTTTTCGTGCTGTTCCACGGCAAATGGCCGTCAATGATTGAAAATGTCTCCTGACACTGATTTGTATGCACTACAATGGACTCACTGTGCCCTAGAACCTTTTCATATACAGCGTTTATCATAATCTATAGCTAAATTTTGTTAAGAGAAGGCTTTTTCAAATTGTGGAAGGTTTTAGAGAAGGGAATTCTTAGCGGTTTGACACCTATCCGCATCATGATCTTGCACTTCGATCTTTATAAGGCTCATAATGGGGCTTCCGCTAACATATGAATTACTTATTGTGAACTAGAAGATTTGAGAGAACTTTGCACGCACAGGTAGATACTGTGACTCATTGTGCATGACCTGAATGTTCTTTGACCTTCTTATAGTTCTAAAATATTCAAAATAACATGTCCGAAAGCCGATGGCGTCCGATGGCGCCCAAGGTGAGATACAACTTCCCTCTCCCTCTCCCCTTCGTATCTCCTTCCCCTCTGCGCGGAATGCTCAGAGTGCTGGATCAATCGCACCCGTGCAAAATTTGACACTGAAAACACAAACAAAACAAAACAAAACACAACTGTCACACAAATTTGAAACTTTAAAGAATGAAGCTTTGATGAAAAGCTTTGCTCAGTTTGGTCTCAAGTAGGAAAAACAGCTCGGCCCTGAGCCAGCTTGCGTAGCGAACTTGGTGTCATGCCGTAGTAGTCAAGCGCTCGAGTGTCAACAACAATCCGAAACACAACCAGCTGAAGCTGGCACGGAGCTGGCACGGCCTGGCACGGCTTTGAAACTACCCCCAATGCTGGTCGAAGACACGAGCTGGAACTGACAGGGAGCTGCACGGTCTGGCACTTGACTGAAACTTCCTCTAGTTTATTTATTCACTGAAAATGTCAATGTTGTCTGTTGATGTTCTGTACAAAATATAATACTTTAATAAACTTAACTGCAGCACACGTCTACCATAAACAAACTGTTATTTGCAATAAACACAATACAAAATATAGGTTAAAGAAACTAACTACATACAACTCACTAAATAACCACGAATATCTGCGCAGCCTTCTGGTGGATGATGGCATACAGCTATTCTGCGCCCAAGTCCCCTTGGACGCAGACATCCCATGGCCATCATCATGTTGTACAGCACTGCGCATGCGATAATGATTTTAGCTGCACGCTTCGGGGCCACACGGATCCTACCCTTCAAGATTGCGAACTTCTGCTTCCATCGACCGAATGTGCACTCGACGATGACTCGCATCTTCGAGTGCCATCGGTTGTAGGAGACTTCCTGCCTGGTTGTCGGATTCCTAATGGGAGTGATAATATCATTCCCATTCGCGAATCCGGAGTCTCCAATAAAGCTGTAGTCGTGTGGAACTACATGCTCCTCGTAGGCATACTTTAACTGCGAAGAGGCGAAGATACTGGCATCATGGACAGACCCCGGGAAGTTCGCATTAATGTATACAAACCGTCCGCGGGCGTCGACAGCAGCCAGCACATTCAGGGCTGTGAAGCCCTTGCGGCAGTAGTACTGCCAGCCAAAATGTGCCGGCTTCTGTAACCGAATGCAGCTTCCGTCCACGGCACCGATGATGTTCGGGAATGCGCTGGTTCGGGCGAAGGCAGCGGCATTCATTCGGCAGAACTCCTCATCCTTTAATCGGCAGCGAATGAAGTGCCGCACGATTAGGGGATGGTTGAGCGCGCGCACAACCACTCTCACCGCATTCGACACTGTTTTCTGGCTGACACCAATGGTGTCCGCCAAAACCTCTTGGTGGGCGTTGCTTGACAGGTAACGCAGAGCTATGACAACCTAAATGAGGAGACATTTAGTTTTATATTCAATTCACAAGCCCTTCTTAAAGCTAACATGCTAAACATCCACTCAGGCACATCTCTGCTTGTTTGCTAAAATTTTCCCCGTAGAGGATTCGATCCCCTTAGATATCCAGCGAAACCTCCGCTCGCACGCACTGCACTAACAGGCACATGCCTTTTAGGAATATTCTACATGTTTGAGTCATGTATGCGAAATAATTGCGTCGTATTCATATGTGCATAACATTAACATTTCATTAAACGAGCCATGGATAAACAAATTTTAGAAATTGGTACTGACCTTGTTCTCCAAACTAACGGACCAGTTTGGAGTTTCACGCCCTCCTATCAGCGGCGCGAGCAATCGACATATCCTCTTCAAATGCGCCTCTTCCATGCGAAACTTCCGCGCCAATATCCGCTGGTTCTGATGGAAAAGGCGAATAGGGTGCAGCCTGCCTAGCGGATATTGGCGCTCCTTCTCACGGCACGATGCGCAAAAATAAGCATTATTCTGTAACAGATATAGATCAACTGCGCTACCCTGATAATGCATGCAAAGATAAGATAACGAATTATAAATGGAGAAACAGGCGCGCGCACGCGAGGACGGTCACTTATTGGATTTCCTCTGATTTTTTTACCTGCTTTGGCAAGAATAGTATACTGCATTCTTGCCTTGCTAAGCAAATACTCCACAGCATATCTGTACTCATAGCGCAGCGCGTGTGAGCGCTGTTATCGCGGTCATCAGCGGTTCGATGACGCGCGGAGGCGCTCGTTTTGCGGCGCCCTGCGGATAGCTCGCTATAGTCTTGCGAGATACTCCGAGCTATCACGACATAGTCTTTCTATGTTGTGACAACCACGAGGGGTTTACTACGGGCCCTGTTTTTCAAGTTTCAACCAAGCTTTCCTCATTTCCTTTGCTATTTTAGCAAATCAAACATTCTTTGTTCATTTGACTTGTAATTTATTTTATTATGTTACTTTTTCAAATGACCACTAAGTATTTTCTGCGAATTCATTCATTTTGGAAGCCCTTCTTCCTTACTGATGAATTCCGGGAAAGGCTTTTTATTCATTTTCTGTTTTTTTCTTTTTTCCGTCTAAGGGAAGGAACGAAACGGACCTACCTTTATTGTGTTTGTAATGAAGTGCTATTATTCTGCCTCTTCAACGGTTGTTCATGTCATGCTTCTCGATTTTTTTGCAAATATACCTATGCATATAATAGTTGTTTTTGTTCAGTACTTGCAACACTTACAACTATTTATCATGACTACAAAAACCACACGTTCGACGCTGCAAGCTGTTAATGTCTCAGGAATGGCAAATTATGGATGTAAGCTCCTCATATTTATTCTTTGTTCATGCTCGGTATTGTCTATCAAAAGCGTTTATAGTATCCATTGATGAAGAAATGCGTGAAATTTGGGAGCAGCGTGATCCCACTTTTCATCAAGCGGAATTGGAAAGTCTTGGAAGGGAACAACGAGAAATTGTGACGATGGACAACAGCGTTAGGGATTCTCCTATCATTTTCGAAGAGGAAGAGGAACTTCCTATTGTAGAAGAAGATGAAGACACAATAGAAAGTGGAGATATGAGTGCGTTTGTTTTGTACTAATCTACATCATATATAATTGCTTATGCGCTTTGCAATTTAGCTTAGTACCAGCGCACAGTGTTCGCCATTCATCTCCAACAACTTGGCCTTTCTAAAGAAGCAATCATTCGTAATGAAGATACAATGACATTGCTATACGGCGCTCCTCCACCTATTTCGGTATAGACAAGTCTTATGAAGTTTATTTATCAAATACAATTGTTAGTACAGTACAATGAGCACGTTGTCGCTCTCATTAAAGAGTTCTGCGCGAGCACAGGAGAGACTGCCATTTTTTGTTAGAACTGTAATGAAGAAATGTATCAAGGGCAGGTTGCATGTGAGAACAGCAGTTGTGCGATCAGAGGGTTTATTGCGAGCTTTTAACCAATTCGTCTATTATAGTTTCTGCCCTTTTTAGCGTTAATAATAAGAGAGCCAAGCGTACCCAGAGTATAGAAGTGCACACTATCAATGTAATTCCTCAACTGTCGGATGTCCTCACTCAAAACTTCGGAAGAATACTAGAAAAGCATGAGCAGATACATCGAGACGGGGTACTAATACTCTCTTCAAATAACGAAGCATATACTAAGCTTTGCAGGACGAAAGTGAAGATCGAAGTGATATTCGATCTTTTGCGGGCTATCATAGAGCGATTGAAACAGCTGAACAGTTCCTTCATTCTCATCTGAAGGTTCTCCTCACTGTTTCCATAGACGGATTCGTTCCGAAAAGTTATCAAAGTAAGAGGGAAGCCCTATCTATTCCAGAAGAGTTCTGAAAATTCTACCCTTTAGAAGACAGGTATGGCCTCTTTACCTCCGCGTAGAAGGGTTGCCTCAATTGGAGGGTAACAAATACCACAATGCTTTGCTCGCAGGAAGCAGTTTATTGCCGCATGAAACCGTCGGAGAAAATGATGGAGGCGCTGTTTTGTCGGTGAGAGTGGTTTTGATATAAACTGATGTCCAACAATAGAACTGTTTTAGGGGTGTGTGCCCTTCTGAACCGCTTCGTCCTAGCGCTAATTACTCTGCCCGGGCGGCGCTAATTACTCTGCCTTTCTTATAATCTATCAGAGTTTTCATATATCTTTGAGCATTCCAAAGCAAGCAAGGCACACAAATAACGATAGTGGCGATGTTTGAATTATGAAGACAAAAAATTGGAAAAGTTGCATGTTTTTTACTGGCCTTTCGCGATTTCTTCGCCCTTCCCACTTTCAAAACACCATGAAGTCTGCCCTTGTAAGCTGAAGAATTTATCTTAGCCGACCACGTATAACATTTTTGAGTTTCATGGGAAATTCAGACGTCTTTAACGACAGCATAGCTTTCGCCTACCCAAGCGCCGCGGCAGCGCCGACCAATCAGAGGCCGCGCACTAACTAGGCTGCTAACGCTAGCGGTTCAGAAGGGCCGTCTCCCCCGTTTTAGGCTAGAATCGGAACCCCAAAGCTTGCGAGAGGCACCAGTGGTGATAGGATTTAATGGGAGGACGTGGGATGTAGAAGTGAAGATATTCAAAGGTGTTGCGGACATGGCAGTGAGTGCAATCCCAATACCAATTACTTTCCACAATCACACAACATTAAGGCTCAGCAAGCGCTATTTGGAACCCCAAGGTGGACATCTGATTACGGATGCTCCAAGTGTTACGTCAAAGGTGTTCGACTAGAAAGAAGTCGCTTGGATTGCTGGCATTGAAGAAGACACACGTCAAAGAAGTCGAGAGTCTTATGAAACAGGCGGCGAACTTGAGCAGTATGACATAATGAGTGAGCACGAAAAAAAAGGACTGACGGTTTTAGTAAAACTCAAAAATTATGATTTCAGAGAAAACCGCAACAATGCGCATGATTCTACCGTGCGATTTCATTGGAGATGCGCTACATGTATGCTCAGAAGGGGTGACTCGAGACAGGTTGCGAGGTATGTTCTAACTTCTCAGCAAAATAAACAAAAGTTGAAAAGAATTGTAAAAAATGAAAAAAACGAAACGCTCCGTTTCGTTCCTATCCTTGGACGGAGACTCAGTCAATTACAAGAACCCTCTCCGGAGTCCGGACTCCTCAGCAAGGAAAGAGGGCACAAAAGGAAAAAAACCGCAAAGAAAACAAAAAAAGAGAACTCTCACCTTGAAAAGGCTGGAAGAGTTGGAAACGGCCGAATAGCGACCAGAGAGCGAATGGCACAAAAGCGTGCGAAATAAATGATACTCAGGCGACAAGGCGCATGAGAATCTACGATTTGTACGCAACCAAATCAATTAGACGAAGTATGACGAAATGCACGCACCACTGATAACAGCGACGGATGATTCAAAGCGCATGCAAAGAAAAAGATACTCAGGCAAGGGAACCAAATGAGAATCTACGATTTTTGGTACGCAGCTAAATTACGGTGTGATGTGAGAAAGGGAGAAGGCGAATTAAATCAGAAAACACCTGGGAAAAGATCAACGAATCAGCGGATCTCCAGAAGCCTGGATTTTAAGGAACAACCACATCTTTCCGCGCCAGGCACAGTCGTTGTGGACATAAACAACGCAAGCAACGTTTGGAGAATCGAAGCTTCACCTCCATTTCTGGATACAAGTTTGGGCTTAAAAGCTGGCAAGTGGAACCCAAGGAAGAGAGATGGGACGTTTCAGAAAATTTCTCATCTGTACCGATTTTTACTGACACAGGTGAGCTTTTATGTATTGTTCGCTCGTATCTTCTAATACATAGTGATTTCAGATCACCGCGTCGCCAAGCGAGATACAGGGATACTCTATGAGGATCAACCGCAGGGCGGAGAGGTGTGAAGGTTTACGAAACTTACCCAAGCAGGTGGAAAACGCCTTAATCGGTATGTTAAATTCTGCTCCATTTTACGATAATTGCTTTATTTCAGGAGTCGGAGTCGATGTCCTCGGCTTTGGACGCCGGGAGCTAGAGGATGGCGCCACAAATCTTCAGGAATCGACTTTTTTCATAGGATCGGGGAGCACTGATGCGGAGAGGAAGGAAGCTTTGAGTAAGCTTCAACGGCAAAAAGCAGAGTGGATGGGCTACATGTACACGGCCCTCCAAAAAGCATTGTAAGTTTTTTACACGCAAAAAATATTTCTATTGCAATAAAGCTTTGTTTCAGACGGGACATTCGCTCTTACACATTTAATGAGTACACGGGATGGGTACCAAGCCCAGTAAGTTCTTGTTTAAAGTTGTTAAATACTGTGTGTATCAAGTAATTTGTTTTTAGAAGAAGCAGGCTAAGAGGACTGGAGAAGAAACGCAGAGGACTGTCATGGATGGCGACAGCAATTTAATCAACTCGGACTAACTCCTGGGACGCCGCAAACGATGTGGAATCGAGGAAAATTCATATATTTATGTCAGAGCTATATTCGGTTTTTATTTGTCATGCAATTGTTTTGATTGTCACATGCCACGAAATTTTGCTTTGAATGTCACATATAAAGCCTGAAATCAATAAAATATCATTTCCAGTTTCTTGTGCTTGCATGAAAAGAAGTAAATACGCCTGAAGGGCTATAAATGAGCTGAGGTCTGACTGCTTCAGGCTGTCTCCTGTGCCAGCATTTCGGGCCAGCCGCAAGGGCATGCCGGGTATGTAGCGGGCCTTCCGGCGGCCACTTGTCGGGCGGTTCTCAAACATCACAGCGGGTCAACTATTGGCGCGTAACGGGCACTCTAATGATGCATAACGCTTACGGGCGGGCCGGCGGCCGCTTACCGGGCCCAATATGCGTTTAGCGGGCAGGTCGCGGCATGGATGAATGGTGGTCGGGCAAGCGCCCGCGAACTTCCCGAAACAATTGTCTGAGTAGGCGAATGGGCAAAACATGCGTGCCTCTTACAAAACCGGATCACCTTTACCTAATAGGAGGATTACAGGTATTTAGTGTGAGAAACAACAGTAGTCAACTTTCTGCTATAACGTAATAATTAAATACAGTTAGCTAGAATCTCTCTGGAATCAAAAGCTTTAACCAGAGGGGAACTATCACATGCTTTTAATACTATTTCATAGGAATTGAAAATCAGAGAAAATCATCATAAACTTTAATACGCGTCAATGGATTATAATTCTCCTGCCGAAAGACAAGAGTAAGCTAACAGGTCTTGTAGTTCAGCTGGAAAAGGAATGAACAGATACTTTGAAAGAGATTTGAAATCTGATGCAAATAAATTTTCCTTAGTTTTCGCTTGAAACCGGAACAGTCAACTGAGCTGAGCACGTATGGGGAAGATGCTGTAGGAACCCCGCCCACGGTAGAAAAAGGCATCAAAAACTAGCAGGATCTTTTTCCATTAGATTCGAGCGTAAAAAATATTGAATGATTGTGAACGGTCGACTGCTAGGCATGAATAGCCGATACTTGCTCGTGGTCTGATTTTTTCTTTGAAGTACACGAAGCAGAAACCATAACTGACGGCTTTTATGACATTCTAGGCTTCTTCGAAGGTGTTGAGTCGTCCACTGTAATGAGGCATACTTACGTTACAATCATGCCAATATCTTAGTACGACAAGAGTGGGAACGTTTGCTGGACCGTTTCTATACGTCTGACGTCCTTCTTGAGATATAAATTCCATATCCGCGAACAGTATTCAAAATGTGGAACAACATAAGCATTGCATGGTCGCTTATAAATCTGCCGATTTCATGATTGTATAGATATAAAGGCTATAAAACACGGTTGCGACAATGACAATGCTGCTTATTTGCTGTGAATATCAGGGGAGTTCAACCAGTACTTCCAAATCCTTAGAGTATGTGCATTCAGTCAAGGTAACATCATCTATCTCATGCATAGCTCCTTCCTCCCTTCCGATGCGTATAAGAGAACTTTTGCCAAGATTAATGCGAAGATTATATTGTTTTGTTGGGTTGTTTCAAAAGTTCTACCCGTTTTCATACTTTGACTTTGAATCACAGTGACTCTTCTCAGAGATAATCTTTGCAATTACTATAAACTGTATTGCAATCTGCATATCTTTGGCTATTCTGTGCGCTCTTCAAGATCGTTGCAGTAAAGTGGGGAAGATTTTATAGGCGAAAATCGAGGAACACCTCCTTGTAAAAACCTTCACTTTGCAAAAGCATAACTTGATTTTTGATATAGCTGAGTTGCACAAGCTCTGCTCACAGTGTAGCCCATAGTCGACTGAGCAGTACCGCTAACCTTGGATTTCATCAAACTCTTTCATAAAAATTTTGTGCTGAGAAATCCGAAAGGACCCACTTATTTTGCTCTTTCTGAGGCGGTAAAAAATGCAATTTTTGACATTTTTGATTCTGTTCGCCGTTGACAGACCAGGAAATCTTTTCGTTCTTCTAGTAGCAGTTGTTCTAGCTCTAATCTTACTATATAGAGTAAAAGTTCCGCTATTGCAATATGTTTATGAATTTTATGCGATGAAGGGACCATAAAGACAGGTTATGTCTGAGCAAAAAATTTGTAGGTTCAAAAATTTTCCAAAATCATATCTCGATGAGCGTTTCGTAGCACAAGTTTCCAGCAAACATTATGTATGTTTTAGAAGAAATTTTTCCTTTTGGCTGTAGATTTCACGGCAATAGAGCAAAGACGAAAATTTTCACATTTATTTCGCTCTCTTTTCAAAGTACGCAACCACACAGCGAATAAGGATCTATGAAAACAGCATGTCTGAAAAACTAGAAGAAAAGAGCTTTTGAATGTTGTAGGCTTTGTTTATGAAAAATGGTTTCTTCCTTCAAAATCGGCAGAAAAAAAGTACCGAAAACGGGCATAATTTTTGAAACAACCCAATACATTTTTGACTAGTCCAGCATTCGTATAATGGACATTCAATCCATTAGTCTGCAAGAAGTTTGTGCGGGCAGAATTTTGCCAGTCAAAATACGTGTGGATCCGCTGACGTTTGAAAGCCCCCTCATCGGACGGCCTGCGCTTTTACACACTGACAAAGCAAATTTATTCTCGCGGAAAAAATATTAATAAATCATCTGAGTGGATGTGATGATGGAACACTTCAAGAGCTCCTTACACTGGGTGCGTCCTGAAAGCTAGATTTTATGATCTTCAAATTTTTTTTCAAACAGTTCAAGGGTGGGGCATCATAGACCGGGGAAAACAAACATTCGAACGCTATAATTTTCTTTAATTTTTCGCAGAAAATACTCAAATACTCGGATAAGCACATTTTTCTAAATAAAGTTATCAACAGTTATGATAAAGTTAAACTAAAAACACAAGCCTAAAGTTTACTTTCTATTTTTGGAAATTTACTTTTGATTCACTTTTAATGAACTAAATTTTCACGAGATAGCGTTACAGGAGTTTACCTAAATGGGATGAATGCAAGCGCTTTGTAAACATAGGGCGTGTGCTGATAACTTTTTTCAAAGTTACGGTTAGTAGTGCTTGCACGCGATCCCCGCACCTTACCATTGACTCACTTTTGCAGGCTTTTAGCGAGGCTCATCGCTTATGCTTACAAATAAATCCATTTGAAAAAGTCTTCTTGATGCTTGTTTCTAGTGGGAAAGTCTGTAGAGATTTTAAGCACGGTCCAAAAGAATGCAGCTTGGGTGGTAAGTGATAAAATTGACTCAGGCTGCTTCCGTCACAAAAGTGGTATAGAACCGCGCAAATGATTGCGAGAAAGTCGCCAATTACAACATTTAGGAAAACTGTTTACAAAATGAGCTCAGCTTAAAGGCAGCGCCCACTCAAGCTGAAAATGATGAGATTCTAGTGCCATATAATAACGAAGCTCCTAATTAAGCAATCGACCAAATCTTTTTGCAAAAAAAAAAAGAAAGCAAGGGATCCCTTCCAGAAAAGTAGAAGTAGTCACGCCTTTTCCGCCCATTAACATGGGTGGTCTGAAAATACAAGTAGCGAATTCGGCTTAAATACATCAAGATTCGTGGTAGATCCTCCCGTTATTATGCTCATCAAATTTGCAACTTTTCTGTCTACTCTGGAGGCCAATTTCGAACTCTTATCTTCAGGATACTCGGTTGACGGGCGTATTCGACGTGGCCGCTTACCTTCTATACCTTCTGAAACAATTTTCCCTCTTTAGTTTTGCTTTGCAGTGAGTCTTGGGTGACTGCAAATAAGGGATCCCCTATTATTATTGGGTTGATGCAAAAATAATGGCCATTTTGGAGTTCTCACCTTTGGCGTACTATAACTTTTTGAGAATCCTTATTTTCCAATGCAATAAGGACCATCAGAGGCAGCAGGCCTTTCGCGATACAGCGTACACACCTACTTATACTCAAATCACAAACGAGCAGAAAAATATGGATTGATGAACAAAAAAATTTTTTTTTCCCTAAACCTCGTTCTAAAAAATCATTACTTCCTTTAAAAGTTAGTTGGTATGAATGATAAGTAGGCCTGCCTTATAGCAGTGAGCCAGTAGTACGAAAGAAGATGAAAAGATTTGGATAAAGATTTGCGTAAAGAAAAAAAAATCAAGATCGCAAACTGCCAGCTTTTTCAACATTTTTTTTCGTAGGCTTAGTCCCAAATTATGAAGTTTTCATAATTTCTGGTACTAAACAGCTAAATATTGTTGAAAAAAACTGTCAACAAGAGGCCTACCCTTACGCTTATGGAAATGAGCGAAACTTCAGCAATTGTCTTCTTCCTTATAGATTTATGTGTCATAAAATGACCCAACGGTCACCCAAGGCGCCTATATGTATCTCATTCTAAAAACGTCAAAGCGAACAGGTTAAGTGTGCGCAATGTAGGCATTTTTTTCAAATGCAGTGATTAAGTTTTCGAAGAAGCACGTTCATTTGTACTTGAATGGCTAAAAATGTGAAGGCAATGAATTTCTAATTCTGGATGCTATTATTTGAAGCTCTGTAACCTCTCAACAGATGAGGCTAAAAGCCCATCTTAACAATCGTTAGATAATGCATGAAAAATGCTTTCCAGTGATATGCTGTATTTGTCTCAAAGAGGAGTTTTGATGGAAAAATGTTGCCCTGATTAAAGGCTCGAAAAAACGGTCATTACTTTTGCATCAACCTAATATAACACCAAGGTCTCTTCACCCTCGATTTGGGTGAAAAGATTTTGATGTCAAAGTCTTTGAACTTATCCACAAAATCCTAGGCCTACTGCTGAGACTTTTTTGTTGAAAAATTGTCTCGTTTTTTGTTTCTTCAACTTGGTTTTACCATCTCGTGCAGTTGATCTTGTTTTAGTCTACATTTATCATCGGCTCCCAGATTCGTGTGGAGGTGGAGTCTTGCCAACTCACCGCGTGGCGGTTTTTGCTAACGAAAGATTGCGAAAAGCAATGCTA